ATTTATTAAGAAATACTAATATATAAAAAAAGCTTGACCTAAAAAAAGTTTTATAAAAATATATATATTAGTATAATTAAGGCTAAGAAAAAGGTTAGACTAAAAGAAGGTTTAGGGTAATTAAAAGGTAGTAATAGAGTTAAGTTTATAAGTTAATTATAAGGTTAGAAAATATACTTTGGGTTTAATATAATAGCTAATTTAGTACTATAGAACTTCGCTGGAGGCAGTTTGCATTTTAAAATAAACACTAGCTATAAAGGCTTGAGAACCAACAGACACTTTGCAGACGGCTGAAACTTGTATGCAGCTGGTTCGTATAACGAGCTTGTATAGGTAGATTAAATAACAGTTTGATTGTGCACGGTTAATAAAGCGGCTGGCGACTGTCGGTTCTGTCGGGTCGCTTTCATCCACTTTATGAGGAGAATGACAAGCAGGGAGGTGCAAAGTGTGTTTGTTTGGATTGTTTCTTCCCTAAGTAAACTGCTGGCGTTAGCAAGATCCCAGTGCGGCAGACACACATTGACCACGTACCAGCCCTCAGGACTCAGAACAAACTCGTGATTCAACGTGCCGGCATTGAGTATCGCAATATCAATGCCGTTCGTTCGCCGCACGAGCTCGTCAACGAAGGAAATGCACGACGAATACCGGGTTAGATCCAACTCCATCATCTCGATCACGACCTGTCCACTCCCGGCAGCCCTTGCAGCAGTCTCGATCTGCTGCCTGGCTGTTTCGGCTCTAGGTTTATTGCGGTAGGTGATTATTACTTTAGCAGCTCCGAGGGTCGCAAAGTGTTTCGCGGTAGCCAGACTGAGGCCACTCGTCCCGCCGGTGACGAGGACAGTTTGACCGTCGAAGGTGCCGCTTGGAGGCAGTGGCTCAGGGTTCCATTTCGCCTTGATTTCACGGAGGAGATCAGCCATCCTAGCAAACAAAGATTAGGTCTAGATGATGCGAGAGATTGTGTGGCTTGGCTGTCGGCTTGTGTAGGGCGCTATGAGTTCTGTTGCTTTGGGTTGACGCGTGGTGAAAAAGAAGTAGGATCGGTAAGTATCGAAAAAGTCCAGGCTGAGGTGTGAGATGTGCCATGACCTTAAAGATGCTTGGCAGGGCCTTGTCGAAGCGGCATGCTGTCGGCGGGCGGGAATGGGTCTGTTCCGGGCTTGTGCTAGTGCGGTAGGGGGACGTAGCAATGCTAGCAAGCCGTGTAGCTGATGACAAATCTTGTTCAAGAGGTATCAACAAGTATTCAATGCATTTTACAGATCTCGGGTGCCACGACGATCCCGAAGTTTGGATATCCATGTGATTCTGGGCTGATGTTCATGCATATCTATGTGCCCAGTATAGCTCATTGGCAACAAGGCCAGCGTCGAGATCCCGGCTAAGACAAGGGCACGAAATTTAGTTGGTGCTAATGCACAAACCGCCAGGACTACAGGGCTATTGCCGTTAAATCCGAATTTGTATACATAACTCCGTGGCAGGCTTGATAATCGCGTCTCCGAGTTGGCATAGGTTGGTTTGCCTGAAACGGCAGAGGCAAGAATAATGGTAACAGTTTCTATATGCGAGTTTTGATGTGATTTTAACAGCAGAGAGTCGATCCACAATAATGTATGGATGTCATATTCATCATTCGATTCATCGTATATGTAGTTATAAGCCGTTCATCACAATTCACAACCACGATCGATCCATCCATCCATCCCATCAGCTACCCAAAAAAATTCCCTTGGAGACGATATGCTTGCGCTTCAGAGTCCATTTCCAAGAATAGTTTCTTGTCTCTCTCTTATTATTTTAGCACTTCTGAGGCTTTAATTTTCTCTTTCTGTAGGATGGCGGTGATACTAGCCTCATCTAAACCAGATTTTCGGAGGTCATCCTCAAGCCGCTTCTGATATTCTTTTTCCCTGGCCTCCATGTCTGTGTTTTCTTTAGCGGTAAACTCCCTTTCTTGTTTCTTATTGCGCTGAGGCGACCACTTCTCAGACTTTGTGCCTGAAGTTGCTGCCAGGATTAGTAAATAGCTAATGGCAGACACTAAGGACTTACTGTCGGTATACCGGTAGGTCATCTCTAGTGAATTGAATGGCAACAGAGGAGGAGAAGATGGAGATGGAGGAGTACCCCTTTCACGACTGGTGGTCCTAACATGTATACGCCGGGAGTCGCCAGGAGAAAGTGGAAGAGGAGGAGGCGATGGATTTCGCTCCCCAGGTTGCGACATCTATATAGGTGTTAGCTATGGGTTTCATACAGTGATCATAAATAACTTGAACTCACGGAATTTCCAAAGGTCCTGTAGTCGTTATGAACACGCTCCACATGGTCCTGGAGGTTCCCTAGGCGAGGAAATCCATTTCCGGGAACAGCTCGCTCGCATCCACTGTAGAGACACAGGAAATTCATATCTTTAACGTCACGGTAGGCCAGCGGTGCCCTGGTCTGTTGCATGCCTTTCTTGCGCACCCACTCATACTGAGGCTCAACCCTCTGATCTGGCGTCTCCTTCAGTAGAGACTCGACCCGTTTCTCGCGGATGATTTTAGTGTGCTTCCACAAACGGTCTTGTTCCCACTCGGGAACCCACCGTTCCACTAAGACGTACTCAGGGTCTGTGTCAAAGTCGAAGTTGACACCGAACTCCCGCAATGTCTCGAGAGATAGATGCTTGCGAGCAAAGCGAGTATAGACCGGCCGATCTTTCTGCGGAACTGTTCCGGTTTCGTCGGAGGGATCATTAGGCTCTTGTTCCTTAGACCCGATCGGTGCTTCGTCAACGCTCTTCGCGTACTCCTCAAGCCCGGCCATGATTTCCTCGTTAACCTTCTTCTCTAGCTCTATCGCATCTTTGGCCTTCTTACTCTCTTTCGAGCATGGCCTTAGCTCTGGCCGCTATGGCCTCGATTTCAGCCTTTGGTGGCTCTACTGTAGGCTGACCAGCAAAAGCAGTAGAGGCGGCTGGTGGCATGGGAGTATCGGCATCTGGCATCTCGCCAAAATTGACGTCGTTTCCACCATCATGCACCACAATCCTAGTATTAGGATCGCTTAGTTCCGCTTGTTTATTCACCTCGTCTGTGTCTGATTCCTCATGGTATTTGGAAGAAGTCTCACTGTTGTCGTCAACCGCAATACCGCCCAGATCCGATGCTTCGTCGTTCTGGTCGCCACTCTCGACGTCTTCCTCCAGCTCCTTGTCTCCAATCCTAGGAAGTGCGTGCAGGGCCAGCTGCTCGAGATGCCGCCCAACATGCTTGATATATGACTTCAAGCCCGAAATATCTCGTCTGCAAAGAGGGCATTCTTTAGTCACATCCTTTGAGACAGATACCCTGCCGCGGGCTACGACAATACTGAGCTGCTCTACACTCGCGCTTGGTAGGTGCTGATGGCGAATGTGATCCCTGAGTTCAACCGCAGACGGTAAGGTACTTCCGCATTTCAATGGACATGACCATGTGCGCCAGTGATACTGAGACACGTGAAGTTGCCACCGATGTCGTCGATCAAAGTCCGTATTTGATTCAGCACACCTTGAGAAAAGGCAAGTGTACGGTCGGAGGTCTCCAAAGACGTGACGTCTGTCGGGAGTGTTAGATACAAGCAGACTGGTGACAAAGCGATACTAACTTCCATGATCCTCGTGTACTAGCTGATATCATCCTATAACAGAATGGACATTCAAAGACACCCTTGTCTGCCTCGGGCGGTCTTGGAGGGACCCTTAGTGGAGGAGCAGGCTTCATCTCTCCATCTTCCAGCATCAAATAGCCAGCCGAGGTAGCATAGGACGTCTCAGACATGGCCATATTGGATCGACTGTCTTCATCAATCACACTAGATTCCTTGAGGTGTTCCGGAATTGAGGATGCTACAGTATGGGGCACAACCTCTGTCCGATTTGTATCTTTCTGCGTCTCTTGATCCAAACCTGCCGCCAACTTGGCATGGTGTGCCTCTCGGTACTTGAAGAACTGGCGCCGACGGGTGATGAACTTGCCCAGAACATCGGACAAGCCCTGGCTGATCTCTGGGAACTTCTCTTGGACGTAACGGACGTCGTGTGCCTCGTAGAAAGATACATCCTCGTCAGGGCCCGCTCCAAGCTTTCGGAATCTCTCATGTGGTGCTGGGTTCGCGATAGCGAGAGAGAGACGTAAAAGGCAGTCGATGGCCTCTGCGATATCGGTGCAGAGTGTTGACAATCTCGTTTCTGGTGAGATACTGTCATCATCATCCAGATCGGAGTCGGTGAGGCTATCTTCGCTGTCTGGATCTGAGCCCTCAGGAAGAGACTCCGGCTTATCCTTCGCATCTTCACTGCCCTTAGAAGTGCCCTTTTCAGGAATGAGGAGTCCGGTATCCTCTAGGGACTCCGATATGTCGCGCAGAAGATAGAGGACCTGCTCTTGTATATGAGGTGCCTCTCTCAACCGATGATCGAGCGATACCGGGCCACTCTGATGGGCTGCTAAGTTCCCAGCCCACATCTTGAAGCGGATGTTCTCATTATCCAAGGTTAGTAGCAGCTCGCGTAGACCGTTGGACTCGACTTGCTCAATCTGAGAATCGATTTCATGATAGAACGATGTTGAAACAGTCCGGAAAAGCTTGAGGACGTTTCGGACGTTGTGCGCAATCGGCATTCGCTCCTGGTTGCTGTCCATGTCGGCTAGGGGCCATGAGCAAGGTCAGGCGGCCGAAAGAGATGTTTCCTGAAGAGCGACTGTTCCTAAGTGAGTGTCGTTGCGCTATGTTGCGCTATGTTGCGATCAGCCTTTGAATGCGCGATAAAGACCCGACATGAGGTCAGCACCACCAAGTTCAGTTGATATCTGATCAGGCTCGCATACATTGCCATTCTGAGCTACGTGCGGGGTCACTTGAAAGCGGCTCGATTATTGGGCTACGGATATGCAGGTCGTGAGATGGCCGCTCCGTCAGCCTCAGTAACCGCTCATGGGACTCTTGACTCCGCTCCCCTTGTTAACGGCGCTCTAAAGCGACAGGAACAAAGCAGGGATAGATTTTCACACAATGTCCGGCTTCGAAATTGCAGGAATAGTCCTGGGAACGCTTCCTCTCGTCGTCACAGCCCTAGAGGCCTATAGCAACTTCCTGCGCGACTGGGGCAAAGCTCCGGCGGAGCTGAGAAGCCTTAACCGACAATTATCCACTGAACGAGTGAGACTGTGCAACGTCTGTGAGCAGCTCATCAGCGATGTTGTATCGCAGCGAGATATTGAGCCGATGCTGCAAGATCCATTCGGACCCCTCTGGCAGGCTAAGGAGACCAACGACAGAATTCGTCGGAGGTTATGGGACTCATACAGCCCGTTTGAAGATACGGTCAAGGAAGTCGAAGACGCCCTACAGAGTGTGATGATGAGGCTGAGAATTGACGTATCAGCCGATGGGACAGTAAGAAACCCTGTTCCCTGAATGAGCTACTACTGACTGACATCATACAGGTCCAGTGGATTGAACGTAAACGCGTCACCCGCGATTCCAAGAAGCTGCTTTACCGTTTGAACCGAAAGGACTACCAAGAATCTCTGAAAACCATCTCCAAAGGCATCACAAGTCTTGAGGGTCTCACTCAGCAGAGTGTTGGCCTTGAGCCCAGGCGCCGTAAGCAGTCTCGATGCAAGGCCTTCAAGGTCTTGCGGGACCTCTCAGCGAGTTTCTATCGAGCTCTGTGCTCTAGTATTCTTTGCAACGACTCTCACGATGTTAGTCTTGAATTAGCGACGCGGTTTTTCGATCTTGGACATGAATGGGATGATGAGAAGATCATCCAGGATGCTCAGTTCAGACTGGCCATCTCTTTCCAAGTTGCCAAAGGCCCAACGAGCAAGATGTTCTGGGATGAGGTTGACATTAAGGCTATATCCGTATCAATGACCGGGTCGTCCACGCCCTGCGTTTTGACTCCAAAGAAGAAGAGTTCGAAGCGCGTCTCCTTTGGCATTGATAGGGCTTTATCTCGTTTAAATTTCACGGAACCTGCTACCGAAGTCAGGTCCAATGTCAAGACAGCCATGGCTATTATGACTCGGCCTGCTACCGACATTGCATTCATGAAGTGTCCTGAAGAAGGCAGCGTCATGCCAACAATAAGGCCTCTGGATCTTTGCCTGGCTCTGAAGATGGCCCACGAGGAGAGACCGGCCTGCTACGGCCACTTGATTGACAAGGAATGCAGCCACCGTCACTTCCAAGTATACCCACTAGGAACAGCAATTAATAGCGATGGTTTGTTAATAGTGACTCTCGAAGATGTCCTTGAGGGCAAGTAAGGCCTTCGACCACTAATATCGTTGGCGGAGAAGGTCAGATTGGCACTCGTCATCGCCTCCAGCGTGCTCCAGCTCAGCAAAACGCCCTGGCTTCCTGAGGCTCTGACACGAGAGAATGTACACTTCTTTAGACGCGGGAACACACTGTCGTACGAACATCCTTTCCTACAAAGGAGCCTACCGGAGTCTTCATTTAATCGCCTCGACGAGACGGCGGACAGCAAGGGCTATTCTTTATCGAGCAACCCGACACTATTTTCACTTGGCATGCTGTTGCTGGAGATTATTCTTGGTTCTTCACTTAAACAGCAGCGAGTGCCAGACGAGAAACGCCTTGATGGGGATTATGACAGTCTGATCCAGGACCTGACTATTGCGAATCGGATGCTAGAGCAGAGAGTAGCATTGATTAGCCCAGCGTATAAGGCGGTGATTGAACGTTGTATAGGATGCACAGATTCTAAAAGCCTCGAAGAGGATGACTTTCGACAGACTGTGTATAATGGCGTTGTCATGGAGCTGGAAGCAATCTGGGACGATATAAAGCTTGGAATATAAGTACTTTAAAGTTTTTATTGCTACAAAATCCACTTTACGATATTGATCCGTAGGCACTTAACGGACTGGCCGGACGGGCTTATGTTAGTAGATACTGGTAGCATTAAGTATCCATGGCGGAAGCTAATCTAGCTTTCCACTAAATGTTGGTGAAATTGTTCACCTTAGGCCCAAAAGAATAAATAAAGGACATCCCCTCTATTGCAGTTGCAGCAGTACTATAAAAACGAGCTCCATTCTATACCTCCATACTAAGGTACTACTATGACCTGAATATCTTCCAAGTTCGCTTTCAAGTAATTAATCTATTTCCCAAATAATGAAGAACGCAAAGGCTTGTTTACAATACCGAACAGCAAAGAGGAAACGCCGATTATTATCTGGAAAAATGCCTGTTTCGCGTGCCAGCTACGAAGTAAGCTATGTTCTCTAACTGAACTTGGCAAAGTGTCGAGCACGACGCAGCTGGCGCCTCAACCAAGAGCTACGATAACGTCACCTGAAACGAATATCGACGATATCATATCGCCTCAAGTGCAATGGCAATTGGTCGACTACTACATGGTCTTTATTCACAATCGGCCCCAAAGCATATTTCATCAGCCAACTCTGACAGATCCACTTGAGCGAAAGGAAACTGATCCGGGCTTGCTGCTGGCAATATGCAGTTTGGCACGCCGCTTTTCTGATGACCCAGCCGTCAGGGATCTTGAAGATTGCTTGACCAGCGCCTCCAAAATGAGGTTACAAGCAAGCTTGGAACAATACAGACTTGTCTCCTCGTTGTAAATATTTGCTCTGCTAACCTGAACCCATAAGATATAAAGATATATAAAAGCTAATATATAAATTAAGTCCTTCTGTATTATAAATGTACTATATAAACTCCGATTCCAATATCTACCTGATACCTCATTCTATATACCATCCTAACAAGGCTTGTATTATTCCTCTAGTTTAACCCAAGAGTAAGGGGCAAAAAAAAGGCACTGCAGATCTGGATAGCAAGCGGAATTATAGCTACCATAGCAGTTGAGTGCGGGCCAGGAGTGATGGTGTATCCCCAAGGTGCGCCGACAGCAAAGTAGATCATCATAGCAGCAATGAGGACACAGATGATCCAGGTGTACTTAAAGCTTGCAATCATCTTATCAAGCCCGATAAAGAAACCACTCGGTCCAGGTTCCTTAGCGGTTGAAGCCCACTCAATGTTAATGCTGCATGCATGACAGATCAAGGCTTTGGCACAGTTCAAGCTAATACCACCAAAGTAAATGATCAGGAATGGCAGCCATTTTATAGCTTCAAGTAACGCTTTCCAAAAAACCTCTTCCTTTAGCTGATGGCGAACCATACTGAAGGCGATAGAACCTAGACCATTGAAGACCACGACAAGGGACAGCCAGATACCCCATGAAGGCATATACAAGTGATCGAGCTTGTCTGGGAAGAGTCCAATGATGATATAATTGGCAGTCGTCAGGAAGAGACCAGAGGCAATGGCGTAGTCTAATAATGTCAGTACGCGTATATAAGAGAATAAGGCTATGGCTTTACTTACAGGTAAAGATGTATGCAGTAATAGTAACCTTGCTTGTGATGGGGATGTTGCTCCAGAGGAAGCGAAGGTACAGCCTTGTGACAGGACCTTTGTAGAACCATTGATAGAAGGGATGGAAGACAAGCTCATTGCAGCCATACGCGTATTTCTCCCAGCGAGTTAACTCATCATAGAGCGTAAGGGAGACGCCCTCCTTGAAGCCGCCGTTATGATAAGTCGCAAGACGAACGATCATACCCTTCATCTGGATGCGGAGACTGATGTCAAAGTCTTCAGACACATGAGAATCTGACCACCATTTGACTTGGTCATTGTCTGTTGGATCGGTGAAGGCAATGTCTTGAAGGGCCTTCCAACGGAGAAAGGCATTGTGACCGACGAAGGGAGAGACGTCGCCAGAACCAACACCATACTTGATAGCAGTGTATACGACGTTGGTGAAGTAGGTGACTATAAGCGTTAGCGGATGGAGACCAGGTTTATCAAATGGAACTTACTGCCGTTCTCGAAAGTGTTGTGAACAACCTGCATGACGCCGGATCCATGCTGAAGAATGGCAACCTCGGGACTCTCATGCATCTCCAAGGCACCGTAGTAGAGGCAGTCGACAGGGACACGTGTATCGCAGTCAATGAGCAAAATCAATTCGCCGATACGAATGTTGCCCTCAGCCCCTGCAAAAGTTAGTCGGATGTCATGGGGGAAAAGGGCGCTGCCACTTACAAGTGCGACCATTATCCTCGGCAAGCATGTTGGCCAAGGCACGGTCGTAAAGGAGGTTATCATCGTCAACAGTCAGATCAGCTTCGGTGCATCCACGCTGGTCACATTCTAGCTGAGTCAAACGAGCCATCTCATCCTCGACGCGGTTGGAGAACGCAAGGCCGTAGTTCATGTTACTGGCCTTCTTGAACTTGCCGCGACGTTGGAAGCCAATCTTGTTGGAGAGCTCTTGAGGTGTCATCTCGGATTCGGGCTTCTCAACGTTCTCAGTGCTTGACTCTTTGCTCCGGCGGAACCATGAGCCCTTCTTTGGTGACTTGGCATTGGGCAAACGGGCAGTGTAACCAATACCGTTCTCACGATAATAAGCCTTGCGAGCTTGGGCAAGATCATCCTGGATGAGCTGCATACCATCATCATTGATGAAGACAGAGGCCGTGCCACCCTTCTGTTCGTAGTACTCAATGGCAGCCATGACACTGATCATCGTGGGCACAATGACACCCTTCAGACCCTCCTTGTAGACAGGCATCTGAACGGTGATGTGAGGCAGCTCATAGTCGCGATGACGCTTGGGGTTGGGCTTGGTAGCAGAATGGAAGCGAGAGTTCTTCAGACAGACACTAACGGGAAGGAAGAGCTGGAACAGACTGGTGACGAGAACAAGGAAAAAGAAGAGGGAAAAGAGAGTCAGAGGAGGGACCGTGGAGACGAGGGCAAAGCGAGTCATGTCTCCGTCCCAGTAGTACTCGTTCAGGAGCTGTTTAGTGTCAACAGAGTAATAGAGAGTGAGGACATTCTTGCTCATACCTTGGTGACACCTAGTGACTGAGTAACGACAACAAGCATAATAGCAACAGTGACCTTGAAGGCATGCATCTTGAGCTTGGGCCGAGGAGCAGCAGCTCTCTCGACGTCGTCCTCATCGTCTTCATTCTCCTCGAGGGCAACGGCACGTTGGAAGATCTCATTTTTCTCATCGAGACCACCGCGAACGTAGGGAGGTGTTGGTGCAACGCTGGAGCTGCGCTGGGTCGAGGTCGATCGAGTGGGAATTTCTTTATCAAGCCGGTCGTCAGAGGGGGTTCGTGTCTGCGTGACGTGGTTTAGTATCGGCCATTTGTATGGAGAAATAATAAGAGATGGGTACTCACAATGTCGAAGAGTTCCTGTTGGACATGATCGGCGACATTGATGATAGCCTTGGGATCCTGAGACCAAACGAGAACGATCCGTTCCTCATGGGCGATGCATGCACGTGAGTAGTGAGACAGTTCGGCAGTGACACCCGCCAAATTGGGGACGATGGGGATGCGGGCTCCAGTTGCATCTGAGACAAGGGATCTTTGGGTTGGGGGGATGGACTTGATGATGTTGGACAGTGTCTCAGATGAGATGGACATACATGCTTCAACAGCAAGCTTTGAGATGGCGCCTTGAAGATCTGGATCAACATCTGCGGGCTGGAAGACATAGCCTTCCTCCGATTTGATGGCGACGCCAGTAAGTGAGACACCGTTGGCGACAGTTCTTTCGACAGGTTCATCGAACCAGCCAAGAAGTGTTGCACGTCGAGAAGCATACTTGGCGACCTGCCGTGGTCAGTACCAGTCAATGTGACTTGAAACAGTCGAGCATACCATAGAAGGATCTGCGATATCACAGTCTCCCATAAGGGAGTGACGTGAAGGAGCAATAGAAGCAGGCCGTGATCTAGTGGTATTACGCTTGAGATCCGACGTAGTGCGTCTGCCTCTGGGAGGAGATGAGACACTGTAAGGGGTTGTGTTGCCCGTCCGGTCAGGGGTTACAGTGCTCGAAGTGGGCCCTGAGGCAGACTGAAGAGCAGCCAGTGTCGCCTGGTCAAACATGTTGTCTCGGACGGTACTGTCCTCACGAAACTTGGAAGAAAGAGGCCAGCCCATGATCAGTTAAGCAAGATAAAAAAGGAGATCACTTGTCAATGACAGGGGAATGTTGGTGGCGGAGATTGAAATATGGGTTATATAGGAGCATCGAGTCAATCTCGCCATCAACGGAGGATTTTCAGCTTGGACGGGATCCATGCTTGTTGTGATTGTATCTAAGAATACGATTATCACCGTAGGCTATTGAAGTCTCGAACAAGCGAATAATTTCAGGTGAACTTGAGGACTAACATCCTTTCACTTTGTCGGAGACTTGTTGAGTACAGCGGCAGTTGAGGCCTCATCGCTAAGCGGCCGCTCAATAGACCGTGCAACGTCGTTATCATCACAGATTACATTATCAGGGCCTGAGATGGCGACTAATCTAGTGATTCGAGTCAAAGTCAGCCCTGCCTGGATCCTATTAGATGCAGGTGACGGCAACGGACTGGGACCTTATCACAGGCTACTATTAGAGAGAAGCACAATGGCCATTATTGATGCAGAAGCAATGTACAACAATCAAGCAACAGGGGTAGTGTCCAGGGGACGAGCGAGGCCAGTCCATTCGGGTACAAGATTCCTGGTCGGGACAACATCTGCATGAATTGTTATTCTTCCGAATAAACAGACATACCAAGGAGACAGTGCTCTATGGCTTTTACTAGTTTCATATAGCCTCATCGTAGAGGTTGTTAACATACTACGTTCCAGGTTGTAACTCGGGGCTCGGTTAATAATGTTAGTCTGAAAAATAATCATGTATTATTATACGTCCGCCATGCCGTAAATTAATTACTTGGTCAAATTCGGGCCTTGTGAAACGGTCTACAATGCTACTGTAATTGCGTGGTAAGTTTGTTTGTTACGCTCATCTGCTACTTCACGGAGATATAATGAGACAATCTCATCTATTAAGTGTAATTGAGCCTTAACGACAGGACCCACCGTTGAGTCGTATGATACTTACTGAGTTATTGAACGCCACCAACGGCTCGAGTGACGCTCGTTGCAATGATAGGCTAGACCCTTGACGTCTTTTGTGGAACTTGATAACGTACCGCCGTGCCATGTCTGAGCGGAGATAAGGGAATTCGCTTTGATAGGTGTTGGTGGCTTTGGCTAACGCATTGACAACGATGGTGGCTTGAGATAAAGCATAATAATACACCATTTGCTACAACCCCAGGTTATATCGGAAAACTTTCCGTGCCTGCGGATCTGAACGTTTTGTGGCGCTTTTGAGAGGGAACATTCTAAGGGGACTAGGGGCCTGGATTGAAATTGTTCGTAATGTTGATCCCTGCCTGATGCATGGTAGTCCGTAACAGATTATAGCTGCTCATATCGTCACCCTGATTGACCGAGATAACCGAAAAGCGCCCTGACCATTAACCGCAAAGAGTTTAATGTGCTCTTTTTTGGGGTAGATAGATAGAGGATGTTTCATTATCAGGTTGAACTGGGCGGTCACGTCCACGGTCACGTCCAATTTGAGCTTCGATATCAGCCTTATTAGCTCCAATCTAGGCCTGTTCAATCTCTGGTAGCGATGCGCGGGCACTCACTATGGAAAGTTCAAACTCAATCTCCTCACTCCGTAAAGGGCTGAATGCTAGGAGGTCCCGGTGAGTCTAAGCCCTGTCGTGCACTTTGGCTCGGACCTAGCAGCATTCGGACCGCTAAGAACATGGTTCAATAGTTCAAAAAAACGTGGCTGGCTGATCCTCTGGACTCGTCTAGTAGTGTACGCTAGTAGCGTGTTTCCGGCTGGAACAATCTCGAGGCACAACTGACGATAAGGTTCGGCTCTTAGGCAATATTTTACGACAATCCAATGTTACCACTCTGCTGGAGCCTGGAAGCATGAACTTTGTTGAGAAGTCTCGATGAGATCCCCACAGACCTAGACAAAATATTGAAGCCGAGGCTGAGGCTGACTACTGGGGTCACTCGCGGTAGGCGATGGTGAAATACTGTTGGGACGTATAACTTGAACAATCTTATTACATTTATTCATGAGACCGACCCTCCTAAAATTCCCGCACCTTGCCCTAACCCCTGAGCCATCATCCCCAAGTGCTATACTATGTCGGCACCTGTTCAAACGCAGCCTGAGGAGCCAACGTTCGCCGCCCCCACTGGGCCTGCAGAACCCGCTGCCTCGGGTGCCTCTACCCCAAATCCTACTTTTAGAAGTCAAGTCTCATGGTATCATGCTCGAGGGCGGTCATCCGCTTCAACACTTGATGAAGGTCGGTGATCATTACCAGTCGATGGCAATCAGTAGTCAGTACTGACAACAATAACAGAGAGAGTTAACCGGCGCTTTAAGAGTTCTCGTCTTATCGGAGAGTATGTCAAACGCATACTTGAGCCTAGGAGTGTTCTGCTAACTTGCCTAGGTACGAGAAGCCATGGCTAAAAGATTGGAAGCGAGAGGTCAATTGGGACAGCATCATCTTCTATTCAGGCTTTGCTATTGCTCTGTGTAAGGTCACCATTGCATTATACCAATGCCAGTCACTAACATATCACAGGCATCTCTGCCTTTATCGCCTGGAACACTGTTCGAGTCATCCCTCATAATGAGTACTGCCTCATCATGGACGACCAGTTCCAGAAGCTAGACACAGACATCTGGAGTCACGAAGTTCAAATGAATGGATTTGGGTTTGTTCTGCTGCTCGATCACTGTAATGCCATCGCTAACCATCATCCACAGTACTGGATCCTTCGACTGGACTACCACCGACGACTCCAATGCCTACGTCGACGAGAAAGGTCTTCACATTGTCCCAACCCTGACCCTTGAGACAACCAAGATTACCGAGAACCAGATGCTGGACAAGTTTGTCGTCAACCTTACACGCGACGGGACTTGCACATCCATCGATCAACGTCTCTCCAACCTCACCTACAACAATCCTTGTTGGGCGCGTAGTAATGCGACCAGCCGTGCCATGATCAATCCAGTGCGTTCTGCGCGCCTTACAACCTCGGGCAAGAAGACCATTAAATATGGCCGCATCGAGGTTGAAGCAAAGCTCCCTTCTGGCGACTGGATGTGGCCAGCTATCTGGATGATGCCCCAAGACAACGTCTATGGAGAGTGGCCTCGCAGCGGTGAGATTGATATCATGGAGTCTCGTGGTAACGATGCTGAGACATACCCCTTGGGAAACAACATCGTGAGCTCTGCCATGCACTGGGGAACATTATATGACACAGATGCCTTCCGACTTAGCAAGGGCGAGTGGGGCTCCAAGCGTACTAAGTATTCAGATAACTTCCATACATTCGGTCTCGAATGGAATGAGAAGTACCTCTTCACTTGGCTGGACGGAAGACTCCGCGTAAGTGCATCGCCCCATTCTCGAAGCTCGTTCGTGCCAACTTACTGACAGCATCTCAAATCTGACAGCAAATTGTATTCTTTGACTTCACTAAGAACAAGAATATGTGGGACTATGGCAAGTTTGCCGGTATCACAGTTAACAAGACTGTCCACCGAGACACTTGGAGTTGGACTGGACGCAAAAACACTCCGTTTGATCAGCCATTTTACCTTATTCTTAACGTCGCTGTTGGAGGCACTAATGGCTGGTTCCCGTAAGTTTACTTCCCCTAACCTTGCAACACTACCGAGTGCTAAAATTTACTGCAGTGACAAGCTGGGCCAGAAGCCGTGGTCGGACGAGAGCTCAGCGCCAATGCGTGACTTTTGGGACGCTAAGGATACCTGGCTGCCGAGCTGGGGCGATCAGAAAGACCGCGGCATGATTGTCCGATCGGTCAAAATGTGGCAAGAAGGAGCTTGTCCAATTAAGAATTAGTTTCATTCTTCACACGTACAAACATTAACAGTTAGGTGCTTTAGATAGAAGGTGCTTTAGATGGATTGGCTTTATAACACACTTTAGTGGGCAGGTAGAGAGGTAGAGACCTTAGATGCAACAGTTTGGAACTGAGTCTTTTAAATAATTTGTTATAGATGGGATTTAATTTATAATTACATTAACTCAAGATTCACTCGTCTATGAACAGGCAGTTTGAGAATGAACAGTTATCTTGCTCAGTGCAGGCACTCCACGACCCAGAAACAAGTCGTGTCCTGTGGAGTAATTGTCCCTCGTTATCATATGTTGACTGAATCAAAAGGCCAAAAAACACTCATGAGTCATTAAACAACATGGTCATCTTTACGATGCGATGTGACGTTCTGTTGGCGCTAATTTTGTTCTGTCAAAGCAATAGCAGACTATTGATTTTTAGCTTTCAATACTTCCTTCTAGAGTAGGGGCCTCGCTTGGACGTTTGCTCTACCGGCTTATCTTGAATGATTGTCCCAAATGGCCGAGGCTAAGAGCCGTTGGGTTACTTGGCACTAATTTAGCTAAGACAAAGTGCTTATTAAGTACGGTACTTGTGAATTAAGAGAAGCTTTATAGTATAAAGATAAATCTTATTTTTAAAAGAAAAGGAAAATAAAAGTAAGTAAAGGATTTCTAAACTTTAAGTTTTTATAGAATTAAGTTATTATATTTATTTATATATATTATTAGTAATTTCTTTAATTGCTACTATCTTTAAATTATTATGCTTATTACTTTTTGCTTTAACTCTTGTACACGCTCCTGTTATCCATTTAGTATACTTGCCCCTGCTCTAACTGTTAAGGTAGCTGCACAAGCCAGCTATACTCCCTGCCATTATCTGCCTGTCGTTATCAACAGGCTACCGAAAGCCTAAACTTGAGACTGTATTATATACTAACCACATTCTAATATTGCCTGTACTACCTCTATATAAGGCATCCTAAACCAGAAGCTTCATTGCTACACTATCGGGCTCTAATATTAACGAGGCTTAGCTTGGCATCAGAAAACAATATTTTTCTGCAAATAAATATCTGTCATTTTTAACTACAAACAACAAGGCCACGATTTGGTTTTCAATAACTCCTGTCTGTTGGCTATACAGGCTATCACATAAGTATACAGCTATACACGAATAAACCAAGTACTTTGTACGCCAGTAGGCCTTGTGGAGCCTTGGCAGCTGAACAGACATGATAACACCGGAGCACTACTGCACTACTAGCCGAGTACCCGTCATTCGACGCTTTGCCAACAGTCAACTCAGCCCATTTATTACAGCTGAGCAATCAAAACAAGCAAGCATCTTTTCTCAGCAAGCCACAATCAATCAAACATGACTCAAGCGGGATTTCCAGCTTCCAGCCCAGTAGGTAGAAGCGGTAAATCACTGGCCCTAAGTCCTTAACGCGTTCTGGCCCTTTTATATACGGTAAAGCTTCTGAAGCTATCAGCAGCTTTTAGGGGCTAATTCTGATCCTCAACTGAACCTGAATCTTATTTCATACCCAACTGAGTCACCTTCCAGTGCTGCAGGGCCTAGACCACCAAGGACATGCAGCTTCATAGAGGTCATGACCGTCATGCCCTTCTTGGTTCTGGATGCTACGTAAAGCTATTGGCAGCCCCCATAAACTATTGAGACTTCTCACGCCAGTCTGTAGTCAGCTTATGCTCAGCTTTCCAGGGTTGTTGAGTGCAAACTGGACAGTGCCAGCCCCATTCAAGTGTATTTGTCTCTTTTCGGCACAAATGGCTTGCGCAGCAGCAAAGCTTTGGAATGCCTCCGTAAACTATTAACGCCTCTCGCGTATATTGGAATTAAATGATGTTCAGCTTGATCTTTATTCAATCTAGAACGTTGAAGCTGAGATCTATGATGTCTATAAAGTGTAGTATATGCCCTATGCAGAGATAAGGATCATCATCAGAAATACCTCATCGGTCTTTATCTCCAGCCCAACCACCCTCCTCTTATATCCATACATGCATAATCACGCCAACTTAGCAATAATGATCGCCAGTACAATCGTTCTCTTCTGCGCTGCTGCAGCCGCTGTTGCCATTCCGGCCCAGTCCTTGGTACGCTGCCCATCACTCGTCACCCCGTAACCTCACGCTAACACTGCACCCCAGGATTCCGACATTCTTCGGGCTCGTGCTGTGGTTGCCTCCACTGATGGTATCTGTGGTGCCTTCAACGGATCTGCCAGCTGTGCAGGCACCGGCTTCGGGAACTGCTGCTCCCAGTTCGGTTACTGTGGAAAGTCCGATCTTCACTGCGGTACAGGCTGCCAGACTGGCTTTGGATCCTGTGGGGTCCAGCCAGGTCCTAACTTTAAGGATCTCGGATGCTTCGCTGACAGTACCTCGGCTCGTATTCTGCCCACTTTGATCAGCCACGCCGGAAACACCCCCATCAAGTGTAAGGCTGCTTGTGCCGACGGTGGCTTTGCCTACGCTGGTCTTGAGTTCGGTAGCCAGTGCTGGTGTGGATCTGCTCCCCAGCAGAACCTTGTCCAGTCCCAGGACTGCACCATTGCTTGCCCCGGTGACAGCACTCTGACTTGCGGTGGAAGTAATGCCATTGAGCTCTTTGCTACTGTTCCTACTTGGTTGAACCTTGGCTGCTACTCTGATGCCACTCTTTCACGCACTCTCAGTACCTCCCTCAACATTGCTGGCAACACCAACAAGAAGTGCCAGGATGCTTGTGCTGCTGCTGGTTACAGGTATGCCGGTACTGAATTTGGCAACCAGTGCTTCTGCGGTAACACTATCGACAACTCTGGTGCCCCTATTGCCGCCTCCACTTGCAGCAAGGCCTGTGCTGGAGACTCCACCGCTACCTGTGGTGGACCTAACGCTCTTAGCTTGTTCTACCTCCTGTAAGCTAGTTATACATCAGCTCGGGTTCCACAACAAGAAACAATCAGACGTCGCTTGTAATAATACTTATTTTCTTGTGGATATAACTTCATGTACTGACGGCATCTGTCTACTGTATGGTTGAATTGAGCCAAGATACATTTTAATTGACTACCTCTTGATATGAATTAACGCCCGAATGGTCCACGAAGTCGAAGTTCTCTCCTCGCGGTCGTCTGCTTGCGGTCCCTAATTATTCTCCATACTCTGATCCTTCTTCTGACATGGCATGACGGTAGACTTACAGTGCGGTGTAGGTTGACGAATGGCTTATCTGCAGGTTTCAACGGTCGAAAACATGCTGGGGGCCAAAGCCTCTTTTAGCCTCCTATAACCTTATCACAGTCTGGGACTCTCGCTTCGCTGACACGTTAAATGCAGCTCTCGCGTGGACTCCAGCGTCTGTCTTGACTAGAGATTCTGATTGATTGATGCTTAAAGCTTATGATGCCTCCACGAGACATATCAAACCAACACACTGATTGCAGATTCTAAATAGATAATATCTTACAAGACATTATAATGATAGTACGCAATACACTAGCTTAAATTCCGCCCGAATTCCTCAAATGTTATAGTTGCCTGGGCGCAGGACCTAGCTTTGAGGTTAACAAGAAGCTCTTTGCTTTGACAGGGGAGCTGCCCTACTTCGTTGCTGTCACGCGCCTCGTCATCGCCCGCGTGACAGGTAGCACGAAACAGAGAGATAAACAAGTTCAACGATCTGGGAAGCGTCTGGTCAATGTCAAGCATGTAGTCTGCTTGAAGGTTTCCTCTTTGTAAAAAGTTTAGCCGCCCTTTTGTTAGGATATTTATTTTAACTGGATCGCATTAAATACATTTGCTGACCTCCGTCAGCATCGTGCACTCCTTCAAACCTACCATCGGGTCGGATCCACTTGTTCCTTATGCTCAAGTACATGTACTACTCATAGCCTAGGAGGAACATGGCATTAGGGACGTGGACGGCGAGATACGTAATCTCGTGCGCCCTATTCGAGCAAAACGTAAATGGAGTCTTATTAGCTACCTGAGCTTAGTCTAGGGTAACTGCCCTGCACAACGTGATCTGACCTAATTCTATTCAAGCAAGACTATACCAGCGTTGTCTTCTTCCACGTCCCAACCAGTAGTTTATCGCGTGTAAGACTTGATAGAGAGATCTCTAGCTTCATTAGAGATAAATCCTTCCCATTAGAGTCTTTTATAATTATTTACTATGCCAGCCATTATAGTCCTAATGCACAGGGATAGGTTAAGTAAAAAGCCTTTAAGCAGGGTAGACTAATAATATCTTAGTATATAACCTAATAGTTACTTTCCTTAATAAAGATAATTAGGCTTAAAGTATATAAAGTATATATAAAAGAAAATACTTAATATAAATATAATAGCCCTTATACTTATTAACTTTTATTAACATTACTATAAAGTATATTAATAGCTTAGTAAAGATTATAACTTTATAAGCTTTTATAGTATTATTAAAGTAAATAGTATAAAAATTTTTATAATTTTTATTTACTTTAGCTATAGTACTTATATATATATTACCTTATTTTTCATAGGTTGACCCGCGTACACTCTACGCTCGCACCCTGCAGCTGAGCAACAAATCTCTTCTCATCATTTACGAGATTTACTCCCCGGAAGATCCACTCTCTCTTCCAATCTTCCGCTCCACAGATGGTGGCGCGATTAGGAAAGAGCACTCGCGATTCACAGACCAGGTCAACGGCTGGGCCGTGGCGTATCAGCCTATCTTATATTCACTCCCTTAAGACTTTGGCGGGTATCCGGCTGGGACTATCCTCGCCGTGGGCACGTCGCTTCCCAGCAACAAGAGTCATGCGTACATTGATATATATGCCAGTGCAGACGGTGCCACAACGTTTAAATTTCTTAGTTACATTGCCTATAGACCGGGTTCAGAGACCGTTCTTAACGGCAATAAGGCTATATAGGAAGCCTTTTTACTTATGTAGAAAGGCAAATTGATCCTCTACTACTCTGATCAACGCGACCTACGCTACGGCCAGAAACTGGTCTACATCACAACAACTGATCTGAGACACTGGACCCCCATTGTGAATGATGTCGCTATGAACTACTACGACGGACGTCCCGGTATGACCACGGTTGTACACATACCCACCAACGATAATTACATCATGACATTCGAAAGCTGCGGTGCACCCGTGAACAACTGCCAGGTTCACGACATTGTCTCCAAGGACCCGACAAAGTCCTTCGGCAAGCCTATCCAACCAATCGTATCCAACGACACAGCGGCGGTGATTCCCTGCGGCTCACCCTTCGTCATCTGGGCTCCCCTCAAGACTGGTAGTGAAGACGGAGCGCTTATTGCGAACGGCAACTCTGATAGCGACGTTTATATCAACAACTACAGAGCACTTCCGGGTACCTGGAAGAGACTAGAGAGTCAACATCAACCAGAAGAACGGTTATAGTCGAGATCTCCGAGTTATCAAGGATAACCGTGGAAACTTAAAGTGGCTCGTTGCAACCGAAGGCAACTTTGGCGACCCTGACACTAATGCTTTGATCGTTGGCGTTGTTAATATTCCCCATTAGGTACCTTTATATAAATTGTCTTGACCTTTAACACCTCGTGCAATGGCAGGATCTATCAGATCTTGTACTTAATTCTTTATTAAAAAGTTAAATATCTCTATAGCCAATACGCAAGGTATAGCCAATAGAATCTCATATAATAAAAATAACACAGTATAATGCTTATTTTTTAGCATATCATAATATATGGCATTATACACTACGCTAAAGAACACAATAACCTTAATGTTAAGTCTCAAGGTCATACAGCTGCTGCCTTGAACCTTATATCTAGCTCAGACCTCTGGCTGAGAACTTCCATTCAGGTGTGAGGAGCTTGATGTAAGCATCAGCAGTGGAGGGGTCTATCAACTCAAAATAACACTCTTATCAAATCAGTTCAGGCAGTATACCAGCTGCCTAACACAATTGCCCAAGAGCTTCCATTCACTACATAGAACTTAACATCTATTTCTTAGATAGTGACATCTCGGGTTATATTTATTTACAATTCTATGGCATCCTTTGCATAAGACACACTACTTTATCATCTTATCTTTTGACTTACACATAATCAACTTCTGTGATATTGATTGTTTCTACTTGAGCATGGCGTCCTTGGAAATATGTGATAATGGCGAGTGATTATGGTAATAGACAAATCAAAGAAAAGGCCTATATGTTTCCAAATGAAGCAATAGAGTTCTCAGTTGGGTAGTTTAAGAAAGTTGCCCTTTGGCTGGAATTGACACAGTTAATGGTATGGATCACGAGGTGATACAAGGATACAGAGCTATCATGTAGTAAACGGGCTAAATCACTGATATTGTCTCTAATGGAGTGTCGCATAACTGGCGATCCTCTTTTTTACATAGCTAAATGATCCTCATCACCATACAGCCCTGAAGCAATTGAAAATATTATATGAAGTAGAGTTACATAGCTTTAATTCTCAATACTGAAAATTCTACCAACGCAGACTAAGCCTTCACACGATCAAGCCCCCAGACCCAACTACAATCCTCGGCCGAGATGCAACTAGTGCAATGTAACACAGCTAATCTCGTACAGTCTCAACCTCCACGCCCTCCTTCTCCAGCTTAGCTTCTTCGACCCTGGCATCCAAGTCACTCGTGCGCTTCTGCGAGGTCCCAGGCACAAACCAAGAGGTACTTGAGAACAAGATATTCATCTCCTCAAGCGGCAGCAATTTCGTCTCTGGCATGAATGCCCAGAAGAAGATGGCATTCGTAAAATTGCATACCACAAATACCAGGAAGTACCTCCAACCGATGTTCTTAATAGCTGGGGCCGTAACCTGTCCAATCATAGTATTGAAAGCAAACGAGGTCATGACACCAATGGAGATACCCTTGGAACGTGTCTTGGTGTCAAATACCTCGGCCGGAATGATCCAAGAGAGGGAGCCACAGGTAAAAGAGAAGCTGACTTGATAGCACCAGTTGATGACGATGAAAAGCCAGCCAAGTGAGTTCTGCAACGACGGAGAAGCGTTGGGGAAACTAGCTTGAGCTGCAGTGACGATGATGAAGCAAATACAGTTGATACCGTTGCCGATGATCAACGGCCAGCGACGACCAATCTTGTCGATGAAAAGCACAGTGCAGAGCTGAGCAAGAACAGAGAGTACGTTGCTAATAGCCTGATACTTTAATGAACTTTGAGTATTGATGCCCATGGCTTTGTAGATATCGGGAGTGAAGTACTGGATGGCTGATACACCAGTCATCTGGACGGAGGCCTGCAGGGCAGTGACAAGAAAGAGGCGGCGGAAGCTCGCGCGGTCGGTAAATAATTCCCGGTAGCCCTTTGCTGCGAGCTCGTGCTCGTGGGCAATGGCAGATTGAATCTGGAGATACTCGGCCTGGACCCAAGGATCGTTCTCATTCCCGTTGGTGTGAAGCTTGGCTAAGGTCTTGAGGCCTTCTTCTTCTCTGCCGTGATCGATTAACCAACGAGGTGACTCTGGGAAGAGTAGAATCATGAGGGCGAGGATGCCAGCGGGGACGATTTGAAGGCCAAGAGGGATACGCCACTGTTCGCTGGTGGCAAAATGCAAGTTGGTTCCGTATACAGTCCATGCTAGGTACAGTCAGTGATGCGGTATCTAATATGGATGATTTTTGACTTACTTGCTACGACGGCTCCAATACCAAGCATCAATTGCTGCAGGCCAGTGACGCGGCCTCTGATAGAAGGATGCGCGATCTCGGCTTGGTACATTGGCACGATCATGACCAGAATACCGACGCCAAGCCCGGCAACAGCTCGACCAGCATAGAAGAAGGACAAGCTGTGGCCAGCTGCTTGCAAGGCACCACCAACGCAGAAGATGATAGCACCGATCATGATTGCGAGTCTTCGGCCCAACCAATCACCCATGGGGCCAGCCGCGAAAGCCCCGAAGAAGCCTCCACCCGTGAAGAGGGACACAACGGCGCCGCTAACAAGTCAGCAGAAGGACAGACATTGGGTCGACAAGAATACCGTACCTTTCATTTGCGCTGGGGTGGAAAGCCGAGACGAAGGAAGTCGAAGCAATACTACCTCCAATGACACCAAGATCGTAACTATCGATGTCAGCTAGTCCGTGAAATCATTTGGTTTTATGCGATTTACCCGTAGTTGAAGGATCCGAGCGAGGCGAAAACGCCGACGAGAAACTGGTAGGTCTTGGGAGCAATCATGGTGGATGATGCGTTTCTTGGCTATGATTTAGGGTCATGGGGGGAGGACTGAAGCTTTTATAGATAATCATCACAGGCGCGATAAATAAGGAGTCGAGTGTGTAGTATGCGTATGTAAAAATGCGGGGCTGGACTAATCCGCAAGCTAGTTACTTGGTCATTGGCTCGCCTATACAGGTACGGTAAATCGCTGTCAGGTGCCAGGTCATTATTCCTTCACCTGACGATAAGATGAGGGGAAAGCCCGGGTCCATAAAGCACAAACGGGTTCATTCCCCGTGGAGAAATTTGTGGCGTGCCTTAGTCTGGGGAGTCTTCAGGGCGCTTAATCTCAACGACCTCACTATACTCCATATTGATGCGCTGTGGGGAGCAGTCTGCGGAATTCTGACCACTCCGAAGCTCGTTATCCCGGCGACCTCTAGTGTGAGCGAGAACATGCGCAGCAATGAGAAGCTGAGGCTCTCACGCTACTTGAATTCTAGCCAGACCTTTTTCGGCTCTGGTCAGCCGTTCACATGCCACTCCGCACCGATCATATCCGGGGTAAAGTCTGGGGTCGACAGTCTTCGCGGTATTATTGCCCCGAAAAAGTCACTAGTTCTTCCTTCCAGATAACAGTGAAAATCTGATTTAAATACTGTCGTTTATAGGATTGCTTAATATTTGAAGAAGAGTAAATACTTGACAGGAACTAGGGCTGGGCTGCTCTCACAGCTCTCTACTCAGCACCCCCCCAACCGGCCTGCTGAATTCGTTTGCGGTCAATCCGACTCTCCATAACCCCAGCCTCACAGTTGCTACGCCTGGTAACAACGGGCTTATGCCTCTGACTTATATAGGAGTAACATCAACCCAGAAACGAGTGTCGTCAGTCTTGTAAGTAGACTTTGAATCGATTTGCTTTTGGATCCACTCAACGGACTCACGGTAGAATCGGATGTCTTCCGTGTTGGGGTTTGATAAGCCGGTGGCGCCGTTACGGTGCCCGGCAAACCACTTATCGTAACCGTACTGTTCCTGGCAATCCCAACGAGAGGCAACATCAGCGTAGATATCGGAGCTATGAGTGAAAAGAGCAGTCGGTGAGCGAGTACGCGTGACAAATGTCTACTCCATCAGAGCTTACTTGAGCTTAGCACAGTTATTCCACTGACTTACGGCCTGTCCTACAAATCCAGCTCGCTTGGCGCAGACACGAAGAATTCCCCAGTTGACCTTGAAAACGCCAAAGTTGGCCGCATCGAGGGTCTTGCCGCCGCCTATGGAAATTTGAGTCTTAATTTGCCAGCTGGTAGATGTATCTCTACAGCGGGGTTTACTCACCATACTTGTAGTTAGTTTACATGTGTTCATCCTCAAGCATGGCAATAGCCAAATCAAGAGTGTTGCCACCAGCATTCAAGATAGCTTGCTTGCGGATACCGAGGCCAGAAACAGGGTAACTGCCACGGTCACCGGGAGCTGCGACAGAAGCAGAGACGAGGGAAATGATAGCGAGGAGGCTTGTGATCTGCATTTTGGCAAAGGCGTCGGGATTGAGGGGATGATCTGGATAGATAGTTTTGTATCGTGCTTGAATCGGAGGACTTGCTATAGAGTGACGAACAGTAAGACAGCTAGGTGGATGTTTTATATATTCATTTCAATAATAACATAAAGAAGAAATCGATTTATATTAATGGAAGCATGTGATGTCCCGCCTCATCCGGACTCGAATTGGAAGGACATTTACGCGTCTGTGGAGTGCGATGTAGAGATGCAACCTGAAACACGTAATATATACAAGACTCAAAGGAGGATCATAGGATCTGACCATAATTTGTAAGGAACAGCCCCATCGGACCGACAATAGAGCTTAAAGCAAATTGATCCACCAACCATCAGACCGACAAGCATTCGAAGAGCCGTCGAAACTATTACAAATTTAAAGTCGAGCGGCACCATGGTAAGTAAACCTCCCGGTTGGTGCACCATATGGAGGCGAACAAAATCTCTCTATGCCTCTTTGGGAACGGGAACTCAGTGTCTGAATTAATTTCTAGCCTGTTTAGGAACGGAAGTAAACTCTTTGCCAAGAACTGGATTGAAGTCTCTATCTCTGTCGCATCGAGTATCTTCCGTTCACAGGATCAGGCAAAATTTGTTCTCGGGTATGGCATTAGACTCAGATTTGTATGACTTTCCGTTGCTGCAGGTTGAGTGTTCTACTTTTGGATCCCCGGGGGAGAACAAGCTCCGTGGCGATGGGAAGCGATATCATCTCTTTAACATACCCGAGGCGAAATTGAACAACCTCGGGAATAATCATCCCGCCTTGAGATTGACACTTAGTCCTCTCTGCTGGTTTAAGCTCTCGGCCATGTTGAATGATCTATGTCGTTGTTGGTGAGCTATGACCTTGTTATCTTAACTAGTTCGTTATTGATCTATAGTTTCTTGGAATTCATTATCTCTGTTCGCAGCCTAAAGCTTAACCTTATAGGTGGCAGTCATCCTCATCGATCTATAGTTTCGACCTAACATGTTAAAGAGATGTGTCAAGCTGCCTTGGTCGCTTTTCAGGTTATCGAAGGGTTCACTTTATAAATGTACTAGCCAGATAGTGACAAATTAAGAGGACTATAGAAGCTCACTCCATATGCCAGAATTCAAGCCGCCCTGGCAAGTTCTACTTGTTACGTTGTAACTAGAGGATTCACACTGAAGTAGCTCGTCCAAGATGGCCCATGTAGAATCAAAGTCGAGTTCTTGGAGAGAATCCAGGGACATCCCTGTGCCCAAAATCCGCTCGTTATCATCCAAAGACCTATATACTTGCTTTTCCGGGGCATCTCGCTCGCCAGTGTGTATATGTGTTCCGAATTGAGGACCGTTGATTCCAGGTTCAAATCCTGGAAGGCGACTTTCCAATAGTGCCAATATTCTAATGACGTGAGATGCTGCAGGAGATTGTAGCTTGTATTGGTCAAATACTCGCATGCACTGCGACCACGAGGCTTGGATCGATTCCTTGTCAACATCTGCACTCAACATTGGGTAGAGACGAGCAGCAGCTAGTACCACAACGCAGGCAAACGCATCTACTCTGCTGTTAGCAAGTCCAATGCAGCATTACATGCTAAGTCCCCTTTTACAATGTATTTTGTGGGAAATGGATGTCCAGTAGGAGGTGCCCATGTTCTCATACATATGTGCTACCAGTTCTTGTGTTGTTGAAATACAAAGCGTGCATGCTTTCAGGGCCAGGTGCCAGTGAAGACTATCTTGACTGTTGAGCATGTTTCTGGCACTGGCTTCGTTAGAAACCTGAGCCACTAGAAGTACAACTGGCCTGAGGAGAAAAATGCGGATGTATAGTAATCTGATGCCACCCCAGGTTAGCTAAACGATACAAAGGCAGGACTGGGATTGAAGAAGAAAGTGGCATAGGTACCTGGAGTGCAAGATTCGAGAGCCCAGAGCAACTCCAGATTCGTCAGTACAAGGCGAATGCATATTGCTGTCAGAAGTTTCAAGGAAAGGCGGGAGTGTCTCTTGAAACTTGATTAACTTCCTATGATAACCCATTACAAGTTGTAACTCTCTCCTATCGAGGAGTCTCTGTTATCGCTGTAGGGACTGGGTTTTTTGTTGACATAAAATTCAACCAAGATCTGATGCAGTATGTCAAACAAGTTGCAGAAATAAATGAAACTGCCCATCTGTGGATAGGCATCCAATGGTTGAAAGCCTTGACCGGTTTCCGACAGATGTTCATCATTGATCATCTCAGGTTTCGGAACACTCGACGAGTCCAAAACCATCGGTGGCCGGCCGAAAGTACAGGCGAGCTGGCTGTTGTGGGCAAGCTTTGTTTAGTTAGGGGACACAACTATGATCATCAAGTACTGACCGGTCCAGAAATACACATGCATGCCATACTCTTCGTTCCATTTCTCGCTCGACCTGGTTTATTGAATTGCGTTTGGGATCAAGATGAAGACCCATGCTCTGCGCCGATCGAATGGCCGAGCCTACGATGTTCCAGCATCTGTTGGCATGTAGACTCCAGGTACACGCCTGTAAGCAGTGAAAGCTGTACAAGCGCCAAGCTTGGATAGTCCAGAAGTTCGTCGGCTAACAGAGCTTTTGATCTCTGGTAAAACTTGCTCGCCATAGTCAGCTTTCGCGTAGCTTCCATCCGCTCGCTAAATTGACACCCGATTGCTAGGGTTATATTGAGGGTCGAGAAGAAAACCGCGTCGTCCACATTGCAGATTTGACTAGAACCTCTGGTATCGTCTACCATCCATAACTTATCGTAGAGTCTCATGAGAGTCGGTCTATGGAGAATTGGCAATATGGGGTGTAGGAACTTCCAGTATGCTTGTACAAAGCCATCGGCTACCCTCCGGGGCGGAAGAAATAATGCTTCTTCATCGATGGCCTGGAGGAGAGGATATTGATTGTTAACTGGATGATGAGAGACCCTGAAGACTGAGTGATCCCGGTTCACAGTTCGCAGCATTGACTGAATAAATGATATTGATGATGACTGGCCAAGATCTTCACTGTCACCGCATTCGGGGGACGGAACTACTACCATGGCGTCACTATTGACACAATCAGTTCTTGGAGGGTTGGAAACCTGTCATCTGACGGGACACCTTCGTAATGAGCGTGAGAAGTAGATGGGGGATCATATATCATCTCCATATCAGGTTGTTGTCGTATTTGGCGGTACCATTTGCCCTTCCCTCGACCCAAGACACTGTCCTGAGTAGGAGAAAGGTCTGGGTACACGTTCGTTCCAGATATCACGCTGGACAACGAAACAGTGGCTTGGGACTGTCGCTCATACTCTTGCACTCGAGCCTCTAGGTCTGAGACATATCTGTATTCACCGTGATTTAAAGAATTTCTCTTGATACATAGTTGTATCATTACCTTTTGGTTGTGAGAGAACTCTGTTGATACTGACAAGTAACACCCAGACCCTTGGCCTTGCAGGCTGAACAAGGAGGTTGCCTGCCGTCGCATCGCGTCTTTCGTCTCCGGCAATATTCGCATGCGAGCGCTATCTTGCGGCTTATGACAACCTTTCTTCCACTTTGATTGTATCCCCGGGTTGCGTGCATAGTACGTCTTGGGGGTGGCTACACCTGGTAATCTTGCTTGGATTAACGAGCTTACCTCCTGGTTTCGTGAGTGAACTTTGATTGCAGGTGCGTGGTAGGTTTAGAATACGTCAAGCCCAACTACGCTAGTCACTGTTACCCCGCGTTCTGGTCTTCTTGGCGGACTGTAACATTGCCGATCGTGTCTCTGGAATGGGCATAGCACCCCGCTTCCGACGCTGGGCCGCGTTTTCCGACGGCTATGTTTCTAGTAATTAAGCATCCTTCACTACCGCCGCCATTGTATCACAACCGAGCTTTTCAGACTGACGATGGGGAGAACAAAAACATAGACTATATAGCATAAGAGAGCAGGAGAAGGCTTATTAGAGTAATAAGCCAAACACCGGAATAAAGGCTTTTATGTCCGAATAATAAGTCTCCTTCTGTTTACCTTCCCATCCCGGTCAAGCTCTTGTTTAGTATCAAAAGATGTCTCTCTTTGTTATACCTCCCGCATGTGTACAAGCAACCTCGCCCCAGCCGGGCCAGCATTGAAAGTATCATACATTCTCATATCTTCTTCAGTCATGCTTTCATCGACCTTCCCATCAAATCTCAAAAAGAAAGCTGCCGTGAGTTTGGAAAGCTCCATTTGAGCGAGGCTATCATGTTAGCTGATGCAACTGCAGGAAAGGCAACTTGTCACAACTTACTTGATGCCGATACACCTCCTGGAACAAACAGAAAAAGGCGTCCAAGATGCCTTGCGTGTTTCGTTGCCATCAGTAGTCAGCCATCTCTCAGGAATGAATTCTTCAGGTAATGAAAATGCGTCCTCGTTTCGATGCATGGTGAAGTTCTGGGTTCCCACTATGGTCTAAATGTCCTTAGTTTAGAGTATATAGTATTCCAGGTTTGACTTACCCCTTTAGGTACTGAGATCCCATCGACTATTGTATCATTGATTGCGGTGCGTGGCAAGGTCGCCACGATGGTAGGATACCTTCGTAGGGTCTCGTTGATAACAGCCTGAAGATACGGCAACTTGCCACATGTCTACATCAATTAGCATATGTCGTTAACGTACTTGCAAGGTGAAATTACTTGGTAGTCGGGCACTAAAGCTGGGTCTGGGAATGCTTGGAGTAGCTCTGACCTCAGCTTCGCTACAACCTTGGGCTGTCTTAGACACACCCAGGGTATGTATATAAACGTGTTTGCTGTAGTTCCGCTTCCGCCGAACCTAGCCAAATGATCATCAGCTCGATTGAAACATGCCAAGACCTATCTATTATGGGGTCTGAACTTACATGCCTCCCATGCATTCCTCTGCAAGCTCCGAGTTCGTCAAATGCTGGGCCGTGTCTTCGCTCTTGTCCGCACTTAGGAGATTTCGGAGAAAGGGTGTATGCGAGTTTTTCTGGCGGACGTCTTCGATAAGCGTGAGCGCATACTACCAAAGATTAGTTGATGTCGAACGAAGCAGTATATTCTTTAAGGCTATTGACCTCTTTCCATGTGCGAACATCCCTGAAGTATCCGCCGACGGGGCCAGGGACATAGACTCCGTACTGTTCCATCTGGGGTAGGAATTCTTTCTATGGTCTCATTATTTTAAGTCTCCAGGTGCTCCTTTAGATGGAACTTACATATATAAACGTGGGTTTCCAAGCCTTGATGTATCTCATGACCTGGTGCGGCTGGCCTCGCTGCACAGACCCAGGGTCTTCGTCAAACATGAGATGGCCTTGGCTTCAGTCAGCCTACTGAGTGCGAAATTTCTTTCATTGTCTCTTGCACTTACACATGACGTCGAATCCCAACCAGTGGCACCAAGGGTACACGTCAATGGGTCCATTGTTAGCTCTCGCCGCCCACTGGTTCAGGAGCGTCTTGATCTTTGAAGAAACATGGGGCTCGAAATCGAGCATTGAAGATTGAGAAAAACCTCTGGAGAAGTTCTTTCGGCGAATTTTATGGGCTTCAGCGTCTCTGTATCAAGTTAGCTTAAGTATGGCAGGACTCTTGCAAAATACTAGAAGGCTCACCTAAAACTAAACAAATAACTCTCATGGAAGATTCGTTTTGCGCGCTACCTTGAGTTAGAAATGTAATACTATATGTCTTTACGAGTGAATACTTATACAAAAGGTCTCTTCTTTGGTAAAGTTATTAGAAGTGTAGATTGCCTGCACGGCAGCGGGCGTTGAGAAGGAAAGTTCGTTCGGTCCAACTCGAACCACGGAGCCGTACATGGCATGTGCTTCATGGATTCGTTCTGATTTTCGTCCTCGGAGATTACCGGTCCGGCTCCATAATCTCGAGACTCGTGCAAGCGGTGGTCCAGGATACTTAGATAGGGGATGGAAAAAGAAGTTATATAAGATAGAAGCAGCTACTTTAAGAACAGAGAGAGCACAAAGTGCCAATACAGCTGTCTTGAAAGTTGAGGTATGAAAGTCGTCCAGCAACATGATGGCAGGCCTTGGTGTTTACAATTTGCAACAGATATAAAGACTGAGATTGAAAGGGTAGTTAAATGAGGTAGCACACTTTGAAACTAGTTCTTTCGATTCATTGTTTATCAATTTATCTGAGAAAAACAGTTAATGATTACCAAGTTGGAAGCTTCGGGAGACGATGAGCATCGGATCGGGGAGTTAACTGTAGTAACCCCACAATTGTCGGAGAGATAAGGTGCGGTCTATCATTGGTCGGTGATGGTCTGTTCTTCTGGTGACGACATTAAACTTGTCACATACCATGGTAATAGGGATACTTCATCTCGCTATAGCCAGCCAGTGAAAGACCAGATCTTACGTTCCTTCCACATAGTGATCGACACGATTGTGGAACAGGCAGCCCGAGACAATGACTTTCTCAAAAGCTTAGATTAATGAGTCTGCGGAAGCAAGTCCCGCGGGGTTCGAAAGGGGCACTGCCAGAGAAAAGTGGTCACGGAATACGGGACTGCGCTAGAATGAGAAACATGCCGTATTACGGTCGCCTGAGATCAGCTACATCACCTCCCTGCATGTGATAAATTGCCGCCTAGAACACGCACCACTCTGTTTGAGGAATTCGTCTACTCACTTGAGCAAGGCGGGAGAATAGTAAAGATTTATAGCTGACTTTCCCTAATCTTTCCGCTATCCTATAAAGATCCAACCTCTATCGCTTACGCAACTGACAAATGAGGCCAGATTGGCGCGGAAACCATGTTGAGATGATCTTCATCTTTTGTCCAGGCACACTCAGAATCTCATATCGAGACACTAAAGTAGCAACGACCTTATATATCTCAAGGAGGGCGAGATTCCTGCCAATGCAAATTCTTGATCCTCCACCAAAAGTCAAGTCAGCACCATTCATCTGGCGAAGTCGCTGCTGAAAAGCCTCATCATCCTCGCCGCTCTTTTGCAACCATCGCTCAGGGCGGAATTCATCTGCATCATCGCCCCAGATACCCTTATTCCGGCCGATAATATAAGGATTTAATCCAACTGCTGTTCCACCAGGTACGAAGCTTCCATCAGGTAGTTGTAAGCCAGTATCAGGCACGTATCGTTCCAGAAGCATGCCAACCCCAGGGTGCATCCTCATGGATTCGCGGATGACAGCATCAAGATACGGCACCGCGCGTGCAGACTTGTACGACACTACCTTTTCCTCTGCTGCGTCATAGTCTAGCGACAGTAGCTCTTTCTTAAGCCTGGTCATGGTGAGCGGGTTCTCGAGCAAGAAGTTGAAAATCGCACGCAGGGTGATTGCCGTTGTATCAGCGCCAGCCAGCATATTGACCTGGAGATAACCCGTAATGACACTGGTATCAACTAGATCGGGAGACTTCTTCATGGCATTCAGGAAATGATCCAAGAAGTCAAGTTCCTCTGCTGGCTTGCGGTCGATCTCATCCAACTTGTCTACGCGAGACATCATTTTCTCAACAGAAATACGCGTGACGTTGCCGAGGTTTGGCGGTCCAATGCGTTTAATCGGGTTTTTGTCCAAAAGATAATCCAAGAACGGCATTTGACCGACCATTGCGAAGTAGTCGGTAACTTGGTCAGCGGTATGGATCGTACCGTCAAAATCATAGGCTTTTTCCATGTATCCAAAGCGTTGGCTGAAAGTGGCAGAGCTAATCATATCCCAAGTATCTAAGATAATCACAAGTCGTCAGCGAGAGTTACCAGAATATTTCAAATGACTTACAGAAGGCGATCCACTGTCCAAAATCGAATTGTTTCTCTTGACTCTGCTTGTCCATGAATCTTGTTTCTAAATGGTCGCAAAAGTCGCTGATGACTGTATCAACATGGGATTCGAGGTTCAAGATATTGCTCATTGAATAGTATTTCACAATCGGTCGCTTCAGGCGGGCATGAGCTGCTTGGTCGGTCGTGCTGAACAAGTGATATGTGATTTTGCCATTGATAACAGCACTGCTGTTGTGGTAGAACTCGGTCTATAAGGCATTAGTCTTGAGTGTTCCAAGGCGTAATTTGAACAGTTCTTTACCTTGCACCATTTCCCATCAGTACTGTAGATTGTTTTAATCAACTCTGGATAATCAAGGTCCAGCAGGTTGGGGCCAATTCGAACCACCGGCCCATACTTGTCATGCAGGTCCTTAATAGTCCATTGATATCTCTGGGTCTGGACTTGATACAAGCGCCAGAGGTTGGTCCAACCTGGTCACAGTACATATTAGACTTTGTTCATTCATTGAAAAGGCGGGATTGTATGGAGCTGGCTGGCAGAGTCAGACTTGGGAACTTACGAGCAAGAAAAGGTCCAGGATAGCTACGCAGGGGAGATGTAAGTTCCGAGAACACCAACCATATAAGGGCAGCTACAACCAGGGCAGCGATTCCCCCGAACAACAATGTCGTCAGTGAGTACTTGAGCAAGGTACCGTCGAGGGTCATATTGATCAATGATTATCATTCAGATACACAATCAATTGGAATATGGATAGCAGAAGTTAACCAGGCCTGTCAAACACATCCAGATGTGCTGCTTCTTTATACAAGATTGGATATTAAACTTAGTTTGCATGCCTAACCCGCTACCCGATCATTTCTCTGCTTTATCGGATCCCAATACCTTGGTTGTTCTCGTTATTGTTCGCGCCACGGCTCGGATTTCCTTCGGCATGTGTGATGCAAAAGCTTATTCGTCCTGTAGACGAATAAAATTCATTACCCCGCACTTTAGCGATTTGAAATCTGGGGAAATCCATTTGCTTAAGCAGGGCACAAGAGTTAGCGTTGGCCAATGTCTCGGTTACCGGGTTATCAAATACAAAATTTAATGCTGTCCTTCCTTTCGTCCGTAATGCAAACTGTCTTTCTGAGTCAGGCACAAAGATTCATATTGTGGGGTATAGGCTACCAGGATGGAACCTAGCAGCTTGTCACTACTCCTTTGTTGTTATTATAACAAATCTCTAACTGACCAGATATACCCCTTTGTATTCTCTGTTTTTAAAGTATACAAATAGAATCTGTGAGCGTGACAGTACCAATCATAAGCCTTTATACCGTTTGCTGAATATATATTACCCATACGAGCTATTTAAGGACGTTCAGGATCTGGGCATCCGCGACAAGGATGTATCTATGTTCAAAAGCCAACATCGATTTCAAGGGGATACAGCCTAGTTCAATAAATATTTGCTAAATACTATAAGAAGCCTAAGTCGTTAGGACAGCAGCAACACTAATAGGGGCATCCATCTCCTAACAGCAAAAGTCCTTTTCTGCATAATCAATGTCTTGAGAAAACTCATGTCCATCAGTGCTTGTATACAGCTTGCATATACTTATAGCCCTCTCATATGTAATAGCCCGACAAACATCACCCTGAGCAAAACATCTATCCATGCATTCCTGAAAATCCCAAGCAAAACTACTATCACTATAAGTTCCTTGTGTGACATCGTTTGTGCAGAAGATGTCGAATTTGTCTGCGTCAGATATAGCATATCTAGGCTTGAGATCATCACAACTTCTATATGGTCTTGTGGTTGTCGTTGGATCTGCAGTAGTGGTGGTAGGATCCTGAGGTGTTGTGGTAGTCTCATCCGTGGTCGTAGGACTTTCGTTTGATGAGGTGGTATCCTCTGCAGTTGTTGTTGTATCAGAGGAGGATGGTTCAGTAGTAGTCTTCTGAGTTGGGATAGATTCAAGGGTAGTGTTATCTTCCTCGGTTGTTGTCGTGCCAGAAGAGAATAGCTCAGTAGTACTACTCTGAGTCGAGATGGTTTCGTTGGCAGTTGTATCGGTGTCTGTTGTGCTTGCCCCCGCCTCAGTCTTTGAAGTTGTATCTGCCCTGGTAGTGACCTCGGTAGTCGTATTATCGGCACTAGCAGTATCCACAGTTGAGCCAGTGTCGAAAGTTGAGTCCCTTGTGCTAGCGTTTCCTGTATTGGTCGTCTTTGGAGCCGTAGGTGTCGAGTCTGTCTCGCTTACGACAGTTGATGTTGCAGGCAAATCACTCAAGTTGAGCGACGACTGTGATGTCGTTCCTCTTGTGACCACGCCAGTCAACACCGAGTCAGTACTCGATGCACCATCTGTTCCAGTTGCAGACAGGATGTTTGAAGTAGAGGCTTCAAGAGTGGGTGCATTGGCAGTGGCTGAGCTCAGCAAAGTGTCATGGGAAGTCCTGGAGGATGCATCCGGGGGTGCCTTAGTACCGGACGTCTGGAGAACTACAGACTCGGACTCTGTCACACGGCTTGATGGAAGTAGAGTACCAGGGATAGTGGTTGGATAACCTGTACTCTCTTCCGTTTTAGAAACTGTGATAGGGAGGTCTCCAGACTCAGACTGCGTTATATAGCTTGGTGAAGAGACGATACTAGAGCTGGTCTCTGGAGATATCGTGCTGTCCTCTGTTTTGTAACTTGTGATGGACGTGTCACTGCCAAAACTAACAGCTTGAGATGCTGATGTGCCAAATGCAGTAGTAGTCTCGCCAACACCCACGAGCTGGCCATTTTGGCATTGTGAAGCTAAGTATAATGTTAACAATGACACATAGAGAGAGTCAAGTCCTCTTACATTCATAGACAGATAGCGTGACTGGGACACACCCCGGAGGTCCATCGGTGAATACGACGTAGACTCGGCTATCAGACGTCTGGCAGAATTGTGCCTCACCATTAGGCAACCCGATATTTCTAAAGACAAGCGAACCGCCAGAGGCTGCAAACCCCGTTGATATAGAACCTCTAGAAGGTTGGTCTACTCCGACGAGTTCTTTGTAGTCGTCGCCAGATGTATAATAGATTGGAAAGTCGTTCGAAAAAAGCTGGCCCTGGGCGAGATTGAAGAGGGAAGCAAACGTGCAGATGTCGGTGTCGGCCGGGCTTACAAATCCACCTAGGGTTCTTCTAACGAGATAACGCCCTCTGTTGTTGCTATCGAGATTGACTTGGAGAATGATTGATCTCCCTGCTGGTACGATCACGCCATTGGGGGTCGTGGTGGCCTCAGTGACAGTAGCGGTGTCCAAGGTGATAGCGGCAGATACCGATGTAACAGTGGTAGAGGCCGAGGTGATAGTAATAGAGGTTAAGGTAATGGCTGTCGAAGAAGATGTAAAACTCTCACTGAATAGAGCATCGGTTGACCCGACGGATACAGTATTAGAGCCCGATTGTATTACTGCGTGGCCCGTGTCGTGACTAGAGAACTCAGAGTCGACCGAAATGGAAGCTGAAGCCTCGTTTTCTTGTGAAGCAGTCGACGTCAAAGAGTCTGGGACGTCTATTCCTACAGAGCATTAGCGGGAGGTAATGTAGGACTGCCATGTGGACCATCACAGACTCGGACTCGTTTAGGTGGAAGTGTTTCCTTGGAACGTCGGCCTTGATGAATGTTCCTTGGTTGATTGAGGGTCACCCCCCTCAGAAATAGGTACGAGGTAGGTAGAAAGATATGTAACGCAAAAGGTATCAGAGACTACGCCAATTGCTCCTACGAGAGTCGCTACATATATTTGAGACCTCATGATTTCAGGACGCAATGGCAAAAGAGTGTAAAGATTTGAACGAAAGAAAAGAAAAATTGTGTCTATAATGAGGTCCCATTGACGAGATCAATTGTTTGCTGTGAGACAGGGGACAGCCCGTGCCTCTGTTGCCCTGCATATCGTTCCATAGTAGCTTGCACATACCCGAATTCGCAGCCACTTTTCGTGATATTTAAGGGCAGTGTAGGCAAGTGCTTCAAACATGTGTTAGGTGCGGTATTTCGGGCGTTGATTGAGTTAAAAAGAAAGCTGTTGTGGCAGAGTCTCGACATCCAGGGAGGAATGCCAGTCCAGTCGTGGGCTTAGTTTAAGACATGTCAAAGCGACATACTAACCCCCTACAGGCTTAGACATTCCAGCTATTACTAGCCCAGGTATAGTGTGTATAATTAAAGCCTTTGAATGGATGTAGTACGAAGTTGGGCGCTGTCAAACGGTTCAGCTCATGCAGCCTCAATTACTCGCTTTGTTGGGTAGTGACTGATATGCTGTTGGGTCTAAACTTGCTTCCCGTCAAGCGCCTGATGAAAAATCTCAAAATTGCCTTCGTTCTTGGGGTCAAATACCGCAAACCAGACTTCCCGCCACCAATTGCCTGAAAACTCATCTTCTCTCAATATCTTCAGCCAGCAATGGGCAATATCTTCCGGTGGGATACCGTAAACGCCACAGCCTAGAGCACCAAGTACGAGCATGTCATGATTGTGTTAAGCCGCCATGCGCAAGCAGAGTCTCATTTTGGTCTTTGTGATATCGCGGTCTCGATCATTGGCAAAGACCGCTTTTCGAATACTTCAGAACTAGACCTGCGCATTCTACCTTTGCGAGGTTCGTTGGTGAAAAACCGAACTGGTGGACCTCGCAAGGCACCCACAGTCAGGGCGCTCACAGCTGGAAGCTCCCTTGCAGGGAGTGATGACATCTCGTGGCCTGAGGATAGATCATCCCGCATGATGAGTGCGTAGGGGCTGTAGAGAGCGTCGTCTCTCTCGACTGGGTAGTGCTTTTTGTTAAGACTTAATGCGAGGGTGCTGCGGTAGCGGAGTGCCTCTTCTTGTGCTATGGCGCCATTGAGCCATCCTCCGCCTGGGGAGTGACGGTTCGCAAAGTTGACGACTATGGGAGGCTGACTCTTTGGACCAGCATCAGCTTGCACCCTGTGGCAGAGCTCGATGGCAGCATTGCGTGTATCATCGTTGATGACCTGAATGGTAGCTGGCTGTTTGTATGAACGGACAGTTACCAGGATGAAGCCGAGTACGAGAGCCAAACGAGTACTTGACGGAATGTCTTGCCGACTCGTTTGTTCCCAGTTCTTTGAGAAGACCGCGTGAGAGGTCTAAAGTCTCTTATGAAGTAGCTCTGAGTTCTTCTCGCTGACTGCTATCATAAGGGCTGGATGGGGTTGAGTAACGAGAAGATTGGCCTTGTCGCCTTTGATCCTGGAATGATGATCTCTTCATGTCTGAGTAAAAGTCTGAACAAGCCACTGTCTTGATTGTGCCGATTGGGACGTCTGTCGGTTCTATCTAATGTCTGATGTTGGTGTTAATGAGACGTGTATACATAATGGACTCATACTGGAACGCTGTATGGAGACGAATGGAATCCCAGCCTCGCCATGTCAATCATATGCAGTAAGACGTCTTGGGGGTTGATAGACCCATCCTTATCTTTGTGCGCTGGGGGCTAAAGCCTCTTTTAACTACCGACAACCTTATCACAGATAGACCCATCCAGCGAATTGATCAGTCAGCAACGCCGCGCTTATGCATGAAAAAGCATACCTCAATTGTTCACACAACGGTGGAACAGTTAAGCCAATCAAATGGTATTACAGAAAAGGCGGAGGATTACGCACTCAGACATGGGGGTTGAATCACAATTCCTCAGTCGCCCGATATAAACAGAACATGAGCATAAGCGAATGTAACATACGAGATGGCTCACTTCTCTTTTAAGTAATCGGTACATGGATTCAGAGCCACGACTTACTTACGTGGCCGTCGATGGGAAGCTCAGTTGTCCAAAAGAGCTTACAAGTAAGGATATCCCCCCTGCAAAGTCTATGCATGCACTCACCCGAGCTATCACTTCAGTTAAATCAGCTAACCTCCAACCACCAGAATTGTTACTGGTGCCGCGGCTTTCATCTCATGAACCGTAGAACTCCGAGAGTCGATGTATTACGATAAAGAGATTTCATGGCTGGTGATTGCAGGGCAAAAGTGTAAAAAGGCCAACGAAATGGAAATTTATTAGGCCACGTTGTTTTGAACTATGGGATGACTGCGGCCTATAAGGTTAAGCTTTAGGCTGCGAATACAGATAATAAATAACAACACGATATTTTTTTCCCCGATATAAGCTTTTACCTATAAGCTTTTACGATAGGGCTATGTTGTTTATATCTAGGACTTTTAACATATATTAATATTTATACAACTGAGCGATCGTGAGGCGACAGATTGACTGGAAGTAAGCTTCTTAGCTGCCTAATCCTTCTTGCTTGTCGCATTTCGAGACTTCAGACATTCTGGTCCGATGACCGCTTGTTATAAGATGTGCACCTTAATAGTCAATCTACTTATATCACTGCTTAGATCAGGTCATCGAAGCACTCAGAGCCGTACTTCTCAAAGAGATAACAAGGTATTTTTTAAGACTTAAACTTTATCGAAACCGGGAGGATTTTGTCAAGCGAGCTTACCCCTCTCCCTTTTAAACAGGCCTATACTTAATTCTTGTACCCTATTGCCGCTATACCTATTATAGGTATTAAGTTCTGTCTGCTAGTTTAAGCTCTTAGCCACAAGCCTTAACTGTAAATAACACATCTAGCTAATAACTTAGATATTATACTATAATAACTAACTAATTACTATAGCTAAAGGCTAATATTATAAAAACTTAAAAAATAACTTATTTACTTACTATTATAGGTTATAAGAAGGTGCCTTTAATTTATTTTCTAGAATAATTAAATATAAAATAATAAGCAAAATAGCAGCATACTTACTTAAATAAAGGCTTAAATAAAAGCTTAAATAAGAGCTTAAACAGAACCTTAAATAAAAGCTTGTCTATATAGCATATCTAAACAAATTCTAACAGCAGTACATTAACAGGGCAATTAGAAGGTAGTAGCGGAGTTAAGTTTATAAGTTAATCATAAGGTTAGAAAATACACTTCGACTTTAACACAATGGCTATTGTAGGTATATTGCTTACTTGGGTGTTGCGGAATGATACTAATAAGCCTGATAGCGAAAGAAGCGCCTAAGTCGAAGCGATCCTAACTACAAGGAGCATAAGATTTACTCTCTCTAACTCTTATCTTGGCAAGTCTAATCTTAACACTTAGATAAAAACAAGTTCTATCACTTATAGCGCCACGATGAGAAAAGCGCTAAAATAAAGTCAATCTACCTGGCTAATAATGACAATATTAGCAAGTCTTATCGAGTACAGCGCTTTGTTACATATTTGTAAGACAGGTCCTAAGGCTACTAAAACTATATAACTACTAATTAATATTACAGGAATGGCGCGAGATATAAGAGGCTTTACTACAGTACCTTATGTACATGCTACATTGGAGAGTTAGGCAATAATCTGAGACTGTGCTATAATGATAACTACAGCACGTATAGTATCTTTAGGCAATTATTTATTATATTAAAAATTATTATATATTAATCTTA